TATTCACTTCCCGATGACTGAAACGTGATAGAAAACACTTAGCTTTTGTTAGTCATCGGTATTATAATTAGGATTTCATTTCTTGAATATTGATGTTATTTGAAGAAATGCAGTAAACTTGTTGAATTATTCTTTTATCATCGCTCACTGGTGTCGATAAACGTCACCAGATTTTCCAATAACAAGAAATGCGTCGGCAATTGGCCTTAGAAGATGTTTTTATCACTAGTTCCTGTACGTGGTTGTGTTCCAAATTCACATTTTTCTTCAAATTTACAAGATGGCGGGATACGTCTGAAAAACATTTCAAAGCACGCATAAAAGATAATAGAATTCGTTCTCAGAATGTAAAATTACATTCTTACATCATTGATGAATTTGTTCTTAAGAGGTAATTATACATCAACAATATCAATACGATTATAACACTGTTTAATGCCTATGTGAGGTCTAAACTAGAATACGGCGTGTTAATATGGTATCCAATTTACAATTGCCACATACATCATATTGATGCTGTTCAAAAAAAATTTTTAAGATATCTGTCTTTCAAGGTCACAGGAAGATATCCTCAGAGGGGAACCGACTATTCTATCCTTCTGAATCAATTTAATGTAATATCTCTGAATACACGACGACTTTTTGTCACAATCTCCTTTCTTCACAAACTGCTAAACAATCTCGTGTGCCCCTCGTTTACAAATGATCAACTTCCGCACCCCACGCCTTAATTCCAGATATCAAACGACATTTTACTGTGATCTTGTCAGAACAAATAATAGTTTGAAAGCACCAGTGTCAATACTTTGTAACAACTATAATTCAATATGTGATATGTGCGATATTAACCACAGTTCTCAAGATTTTATTTTAAAATGTATTCTCACTAGAACCTTTTAACTGTGATCACTTTTTCTTTTCGCTTCTTGTGATATATTTCTATTTCTACTTATTTTTCTTTTAGTTGTAACAATTTTTTTTTAACTAATTATACTGTTTTGCATATATTTTCATCAACACCTTTGTACATTTCCTGTAATTGGCTGAATGTCCGTTGGAAATAAAGTGCTATAAATCAATCAATCAGTTAATCAATCAATACTTCTTTAATAATTCATGTACATTTTTTCTAATATTCAACTACATATCCAATATTTTCAGGTAGTTGATTCTAGTTTATAGGGTTCAATCTGAGTGAAAAATAGTTAGTAGCTAACATGGGCTGAAAATTCCCGGGTCTATGGAAGATATCGGTTTTTTTTTGTTCGAAATTGTCTTCTTTTGTCAACGTAATATCCATCAAAAGCCACACGATCACTCCAGCACTGCTCTAACATTTCAATATCACTTTTGTAACGTATTCTAAAAACACTTTCACGTGTTTCGCTATACAATGGCTTCCTCGGGCGTGTCTTAATCTTAATCATTAAGACATGCCCGAGGAAGCCATTGTATGGCGAAACACGTGTTACGTTTTTGTAAAACTGTCTAGTGAGAATCACGCAATAAAGTGTTTTTAGAATACGTTAGTTATGGATTTTCATCAAGTATCGATCGATTCCATCATATATCACTTTTGTAGAACAATTTACCTTTCGTCTCAAAATATGCCTCACTTTTAGTAATAACCCCTCCATTCGAGCGATATTCTTACCGATGAGCATTTTTTGAGATCTGCGAACAGCCAATAGTTGCTGGGAGCCAAATCTGGCGAATACGGTGGATGTGGGAGCAATTCGAAGTTCAATTCATGTAGTTTTGCCATTGTTTAGATTGACTTGTGAACCGGTGCGTAGTCTTGAAGAACAACAATTTTTTCTTTGCCATATGCGGTCGTTTCTTTGCAATTTCGGACTCTAAACACTCCAATAATTGCTGTGCTTTCGTGCGCTTTGGACGAGGTTCACCAGCTGCTCTCCACTCTCCACTCAGATGACGAGCATTTGATTTCGGAGTGCAGTGATGAATCCATATTTCCAGTGGCGATTGTAAAACTTAAGGGCGGGGGGCACACTGTAACTAGTCGCCAAGATTCAGTAAAAAAGCACAGGTATTTGAAGTAATACTGTATTTCCCATTAGGAAAAGAAATAATATCACAAAACCCTAATGAAAAAATATTTCAATAATGAACAATGCGCACTATCAAAAAGCCAGCATACATAACAAAACATTTTATTACCTCTTGGAGAGAAAACTAACCATTCACGTACGCTGCGCTGTCCAAAAGTCGTTTTTTTAGGTTTGTACCAAGAAACGTAAAATTTTCTGTAATTGAAAACTAGAAAGTTTAGGAAGTCATCTGATAACCCAGGTTGGCAAGGTCCTTTTAGAAGTAGTTGACGCACTATTTCAGGGATCAAAATAGTGTTTTTGAATGAAAATGGGTCGACGAAAAAATTGAAATATCGATTAGAGAATGATCCATGTAAAAACAAAATGTTTTACCTTTTACCCATTTCCAGCAGACATCTTATCAGAATCGTCTTGTTCTTGAGTACTATCACTATCCAAATCCGAATTAAAATCTACTTCCGTAAATGATAAATCAGCAAAACCTAATGAAAAATCGGATTTTGTTCTTACTTTATAGGTTGATGTAGATGGAACATCAAGAAATGTTGACTCCGTACTGACCGTTATTTTCAGAGTGTCAGGTTTATTTGGAACCGATTCCTCTACACAACTTTGAGTTTGAATTAATTGTTCTTTTGTTTCTCTGTAAATGTATAAGTTTCCATGATGAATACGATTTCAGATCTTCAACAAAAAATTAAGAACTCACGAATTGAAAGTTTTACAAACATTTTATTTTGTTTGAGAATGTGATGTAGCAGCATATTGTTTTTGACCCATTGTTTTGAAAATAATGAAGTTGTGTCACTCTTAGCACAGTAACTTACAAACATATGAGTAGAATATCATGAAGTTTCAATAGTTCTCTTTTGAAGGTTAGTACTAACTGAAAACGCGGTGAATGCTAGCGCCATCTATGTGTTAGGCCCGAGACTTTTCAGTCCATGTTATATTGTTTCTAGACTAGAGTATAAAATGATTTTTGAACTATGAGTACACATGTCGTGAAAATTTCTTGGTAAATTGTACGGTGAGTTCAAATGACAAAATCATTGAATAATTTCAAGTCATTCCCCAACGAAAAAAATGTAAGGTTAAACAATTATTGTAATGAAATGAAAAACATTCGTTTCGAAATCTTTTGTTTAAAAGTGGTTGACAATTCTTTGTTAAATGTAGGAGGTTCCGAATTCCATTGTTTAAATGTAGTGATAGGTAAAAAACTAGTTTCTTCGTCACAATTATTTGTTAATACCATCAATATGTATAATCGTCTTATACAAATTTTTTGAATTATTTCCGTATAGTGAGATTTCTTTCTATTCTCCGGATTTGTTTGCCGTAGTCTGCTGGTGTTTATGGCTGATTTTTTGTCTACTGCTGAGGCAGACGTTATCAGCGTGAATGAGGCGTAGAGCTCTAGTTATCACAACACATGGGGGAGACTGGGGTAGTGACTCTAAAAAAAAGTTTGTTAGTGAACTTTAACAGCTTCATTTTTATTGTTAGTATTCATAATCATCTTCTGGTTAATAACCTTCAACAATGTGAAATTTATTTAGACGCCGAAAATTGCTACGTTTCACTTTGTTACTCATGATGAAGCAGGAGAGGTAACGCCCTTTGACATCTGAGATGATTGCAAATCGCTGATACTTGAGAAACTGCGGAAAGAAAACTATCCAGAAAAAAATCTCATACAAGTATTTGAGTATTGAGTAAAAATTAGTATATTTGAATAGGATGGCAACCTCTGAATATGATTTTGATTGTCAAGTTGGCGGAAATTAAGTCAAAATGTTGAAGAAAACCAATTTCTGAATTGTCGACACTTCGGAACTTTGTTGTTTCATCTTCAGGACTCTGAAGTATAAGAACAAGACATACATATTAAAATGGAAATTTACAAAGCAGTTCTGTTAGAAACAAAATAAATTATGTAATATAACAATCATTCAATAGTTATCATCTCAAACTTCAGTTCACCGTTGAAGAAGAAAAGAATAATAGAATTGCTTTTCTGGATGTTTTGCTGATAAAATCTAACAACAAAATTATAACTGATTGGTACCATAAACCAACATACTCTGAAAGATTTATAAACTACCACTTTATCCACCCAATGACACAAAAACTAAACATCATCAACAATCTCAAATACAGGGCTACATATTTAGCACATGCGAATTTTAAAAACCAAAACCTGAAACTAATAGAAACTATGTTACTTAAGAATTGCTATCATTAATCTTTAATTGAAAAATTAGTATACTCAGACAGAACAAATAAACAGAAAAAACACCGTTGAACATTAAATATTTCAAATTACCGTATGTAGCAGGTCTGACACCATAACTATGCAAGACTCTAGAAAATAAAAATTTTAAAATTAGTATGAAATCTGAAAATACAATTATTCACGAGAACAAAACCAAAAACACCAGAAGACCTGAAATCCAATATTGTCTATAAAATACCATGTGCTGAATGTGAGAAAATATATATAGGGCAAACAGGCAGGTATCTCCAACAAAGAATTACTGAACATAGCAGGGATTGTAAAAATATACACAACCCACTAAAATCAATGAGGAATCCTACTAGCCTTGGAGAACATTGCAAATCGTCCCTTCATACTTTCGATTTTGAGTCAGTCAGTATTATAGGACAACAAACGATACTAAAAAAAAAGACTCTTGAACGAAATGATTGAAATAACAAAACATGGAACAAAATCCGTTATCAAAAGGTCGGATATTGAAAACTTACACACCTCATATTTCAATCTAATAGAAAAAATCAAACAATAACTAACTTTGGAATCATTAACTGACTGCTTTTTCCAAATACAATTCTCATTTCTTTCATGGGCCTTTTTTGAATTATAAAGAACGATTCACAGACAGTTCAGATTGTTAATCCCTTCGTGTCTGTGCCAACGTCTTTCAGGAACCTGTGTACGTATTTATATTTCATGTCGAAATTATTCACTTCACCCTTCAACTCGGAAAGTCGCCCTAAATGTAAGTACTCATCAACGTTGTTTTTTTTGTAAAATTTTCGAAACGTTTATTATTTTTAACGATTGTTACATTACATAATTTATTTTGTTTCTAACAGAACTGCTTTGTAAATTTCCATTTTAATATGTATGTCTTGTTCTTATACTTCAGAGTCCTGAAGATGAAACAATAAAGTTTCGAAACGTCGACGATTTAGAAATTGGTGTTTCTTCAACATTTTGATATTGAGTATTTTATTTTTGGTCTAATTGAAATTCCTTCACAATGTTATGAATCATCCTGTATTGCCATAGAGAATATTACTCAGTTTTGGGAAAGAATGTTTTTGGCCTCCTACTTTTTTTCAAGAAAAAAACACAAGCACTACAGAAAAATCTTTAAGGCACTCTCAGAGCGGTGCCTGTGTGAAAGTAGCGATTCACATTGGATTTGAATCAGTGGAGATTAAACCCATTGGAAAAACGTTCTCAAGAAGTTTATTCCACATAAACGCAGTTCTCCAGATGAAACAGTTCTTAAACAGTGAAATTCGAGATGTACTGAGTTGAACCTTGAAACGGGGAACAACCACAGTCCGTCGTGTATTTCTGATATGTATCGCTTTTGGTGGAATCAAATGTGCCAAGTCACTTGAACACTTCCCTTGGAAGTATCTATAAAAGAGAGACAAATCTCCATCCTTTCTTCGATGTTCCAGACTATCAAGGTGGCACGTGATATTCGCGTCTTCAATCAGGCGGATGGCTCTTTTCTGGATAGGGTATGTTTGGGGCGGAGCTCCATACATGAGAAGAATACTCCAAAGAAGGTCTGATCTGAGCTTTATAAAACATCAAAAGTTGCAGATGTGTGTACAGTTTTCTGGTTCGGAACTGTGTTCCAAACTATTGCAATTTTCAAAACTGCCTTTGCAATTCCAGCGACATGATTGTGCCAAGCCATATTGGTGCCCATTTTAACCCCCAAGTTATCGAAACACAAAGCGGAATTGTCTGACCCTACATTATTATATCCGGTTCGAAGACATTTATCTTCTTGAAGAAAACCGATGTCTGTGTTTTTTGTCGCATTGAATTGAATCTGGTTACTTTCAGCCCAATTCGAAATCACTTCTAGATAGTCATTAGGATATGCATCCTCCTGCTGTCGGTGAAGATGTGTCTCCGTAGCCGTTATCCTGGAAACCAACAAGTGCGCTGTCGTCAGCAGAGCAATATATTGGATTATTGGTTTTTTCCAATAAGTCGTTGATATACAATGAAAAGAGGATTGGATACAATATGGATCCCTGGGGAACACCAGCGTTGATAGTGAAAGTATTCGAGAGATATCCATCAACGGCCACTTGCAGGAAACGTTCTTTCAGGAAGCTGAAGAGCCATACACAAAAAATGATCAGACATGCCATAGCATCGAAGATGATCGCTCAAGATGTTGAGGCATCAAGATGGAGAAGCAGAATACCAAACACTTTCTTTCCCAAAAAGTATTCCTTTTCTTGAAAATTTACCACTTCAATTTAATATTACTCAGATTCCATAAGGAAAACTGCAAGAAACCATGCTTTTCAAAAATACAGGAAATAGTGGTAAAGTATTATTTTTTCACTTTTTTAAATTTATTAAATATTCATTTCAGGAATGTTTGTGAATAGATAGCGTAATACCTTAGCGAATTATCATTTTGAATATCCTGTGAATGTGAAATACCTGTTGAAAAACAAAACAAACCGAGTTCGAAATGAATATAGTGAAGGACAACTGTGCGCTAAATTGAGATATGACACTCCAATTTGTTTTAAATTTGTATTTTGTTCAAACTTCTGATGGTGAAATTCTGTCAAATTCTATATCGTCTTACTTTGTTATTTTTCGCGAAAACTTTTTGTTCGTATTGATAGTCAAGGTATAAAAATAAATAACAATTCAAAGAATGTAAACTTTCACTACCGGAGATAACCGTGTGAAAGCTTTTTCCGGGTTTTTTGGCCGTGGTCTAAAGATTTTTATGCCTGACGTTTCGTCTACTACTGCGGAAACCAGTATCAAAGGCGATGTGGTAACGGTCGCAGTGCCCGAATTGGTGCTCGAATTGTTGTCCCTAACGCAGTACCAACGATTGCTGGTATCTGAATCTGCTTCTATATAGAATATAAAACGTCATAGCTTGAAACCTGCAGACCACACAAAACCGGGAAAATTGTTTTCACACGAATAACAATTTATTTTAGGAACTGGTCTGTAAATATAATAGTAACATAAAAGCCATAAAGATATCTATCGCCTGGACCTTTCACTGTAAAACATCCAGTGAACACTGGAGGTCAAAAACAACGTATTCGTTATTCAAGACCAGACACCGCTGTTTCAACATGTCGAAGGTCTCGTCAGTGGTACTAGGCTGAACCACAAATTCGTATTTCATGGATAGTTTTATTAATTTTCATATTATCTTTAATTCAGAATCACATCAGTAACATACCCAGTCTCCACCAGCCGTAACGTAACATGTTGGTGGTTAATCATGTATGTTTGAATACTTGTTTCTCTTGCGCTCAAGCCCAAGATATCCATGAGAAACGAATGTTTCAATACGAAAAGTCTCACAAAAAATCGCTATATGCTGATCATGGAAAACAACAAGTGTGTTCGAGGTGTTATCTTCATGAGTATCAGAGATTATCATTACGATTTTTTACTGATAATTTGTTTCTTATCTGTAAGTCGATTATTATATTAATTGTTTCTGTAGAAAAAAAGATTATTGAGGCAATTGTCAGTAATTACAAATAAAACAATCGCTAGATCAAAATCACTATCCTTATAAACGTGTTGATTCAAGACAACATAAAAAAATTAAGCTTGGACTTGATTCGGAGGTGGTTCCTTGAAATTTGACAGTTTCCAAACCTACAGTAGGCCATTTGTTTTTTTGGCTGTAAAAGTTGTCCATAATATATGCTAATAATATTTCTTTTTTTCCAGTCAGACCAATTCTAGATACATTTTTGGAAAGGAAATTTTAAGCTCTATTGAAATATGCAGGAATATACAGGGTGTCTCATTAAATAACTATTAATATCCCATTTGGAAAAATACGTTTTTTATACTATGAATTCTACGTAAGAAAGTGCTTTGGAAATGTTTTCATAGAAACAAGACATTTGTTAGAGGAAAAAAGTTACAGCAACTTTTTGAAAATGCACATTTTCGAAAAACATGAAGTAGGTAACTCAGAAACGTTGATAGATATCGATATGTGGCTTTCACCATTAAGTTTATCATGAAATTTGACCCAGCGATTAGTTTTCATCAGTCTAGTTTGAAAACAGAAGTTTTCCTTCAAAAGTGTCCAATTTGGCCCACTCTGTACACATTTACCTATAAACAATGCTGATTCGTTTCTCGGCTTGCCAATAGCCATAATAAAGATATGGAATACATAGATTCATAACAAATGAACACAAATATAACTCAAATTAAGCATTATCTTTTGACAAAACATTGACTATTTTGTAAACTTCACTCAATTCAGTCAATAGCAATTACATATATAAAACAAATATTGTGTATGGTGCCATTTTTTTGCAGGAGGATATTCGAAATGTTATTTGAGAAAACAGAGATGAAACTTGCATATCTCTCATAAATTTTCAATTGATTGTCATTTTATAATATATAATAATAAAAAATTGTTTATTGTTTGGGAAATTTTGCTGGTGGGGTTGGGAAAATTTGGATTCCCTCCCCCCCTGGTATTTCTTATCACTACGGCCCTGCTAGTGGTTAAACAAATATAAACTATGAAGATGCATTTCATTGATTAGGTTATATCACTGGTTAATCAACAAATTTTTTTTGTTTTTTTTTCAAGGAATTCATAGACAATGCAAAATTAGGAATATCCAGTAAGAGGCAGTTATAGTAATCTGATGAGAGAAGGAGGATTTGAATTTTTTCTTATGCATTGGAAAATCAATAAGATTCTTTCTTCTCGAATTAAGATTATGAACATTTGTCCTGTATGAGACTTTCTTGCACAGTTATATTTATTTCCCTGAAATTATAGAAAATAAACGGAAACAAGAAATACATACTTTTCTCAAGTTGATGTTTAGTCACGATATCCTTTTCTTAATCGTTCTCAGTAACATCTCTTTCGATTCTGTTTACTGGTAATTAACAGGTCATTAAAATATATTTTTATGGTTGAATTGCCATTAATCTAACGGAGTATCGGGCATCAGAAGGCAGACAGACCAAATATGAATTCAAACAGTTATTTAACTATTTTTGTATCATATCCTAGAAACATATATATCCTTAACTGAAGTTGGAATATAAATACTTCTTAAAACATATGGGAGAACAAAAAGCAAGGCTGTGCGTGATTTTTCTTTTTTTTTACATGAATAGCGAAGGTATCTCACTCTGTATCCTTTCATCCTCTTCAGCATGTCTCCTCGAATTACTGTTGTTTATCATTTTGTTTAAAATTCTCTAGAAATTTTCTGTCGAATCGTTCTTCGAAAATCAGCTTTTTTAGATTTATCTCATCCACTATAAATTATTACAAGATTCAGATAATTTCGATAATGAGAATTATCGTAAAGTGAATCTATTGAAAACAATTCTCCTACACCAGAACATGTTTCACCTTTTGCAACAAATCAAGTTAACCATGTCATTAGAACATTATCAAAAACTAAATTGCTTGTTGCTTGGAAACTAAATTTGTTTATCATGAATGATTTATACACAGGAAGAGATGACTGAAACGATGTATTCTTCGGGTCTAGGTGAAGGCTATTTCATCAGTTCGGACTTCCATTGTCTAATATAATATAAATTGATTTGATAACCCTGAAAAATCAAAAAGATTAACCAAAAATAACAATTTTATCAAACAAAAAACTGAAATTACAAAGAAATAACATACAAGCAACAACCAAACAAAAAAAATTGGAATATTAATAAAAGCTGAAAAAATTGAAAAATTAAAAATATTATTAACCAAAAAATGAAAAAATAAGAATTGAAAGATTTCAAACCAAGTTATGTCACAATGTTCCAATTGTTAGTATCCACAATCGTCTTCGGGTGATAACTGGACTTATTCCTCCGAGATCTGACTATTTATAGGTCATTCGAGTGCTTTCACCTATCCCCTCGTCCCTCTTTCCGCTTCATTGGTTTTGGCGGGAGATGACCGTTTGGCGGGAGTTGGTCGTTTTACGCTTGATTAGAGGTTTCCATATGTTACGTATCTCTACGCTAGCTTGACTAAATGCGTTGTTGGACAACATATTTGCGTCTTCTTTGAATTTTCTCCTAAACCAGTGTTCCTCTTTGTGGATGATTTCAGCTTGAGCCCACTTGATATTGTGTTGATGAATCCAAACATGCTCTGCTACTCCGGATTTGCTGGTTTCTCCTCGCTGTGTGTGTTTCTTGTGCTCAGTAATGCGAACTTTCAATGACCTCTTAGTTTCACCGATGTATGATTCTCCGCACTCGCAGGGAATCCGGTAAATGCGATTCTTGGAATCGCAGTCCGCGTTTGCTGGCCTGGTTTTCGTGAGGCTGCTACGGATAGTGTTCCCAGATCTGAAGCGGGTCCTGATGTTATACTTGAACCCAATCCGTCTTATCCTTTCCGATAATCCTTTGATGTAGAGAAGTACAAGTACTGGTTGTGGCGGCTTCTCTTCCTTGTGGAATTCTTGCTGTCTTCTAGCTAAGGCGTGTTCTACCATCACTTTGAAGTTACCATTCCGTTGAAGGTCATTTTTGATGATGCCTAGTTCCTTTTCGAGACCTTTCTTTATATTACAGAGCCCAAAAGCACGGTCCAGTAGAGTCTTGATGATTTCTCTCTTAGTCGATTGATACTGGTTAGATTTCTGGTTCAGATACTGTCCTGTGTGAGTGGGTTTTCGATATACTGATGTTTCCCATTTAGTGTCGGTCCTCTTCACCAATACGTCTGAGAAAGGCTATTTGTTGTGGATTTCCTTTTCCATTGTGGAAGTGATGGTAGGCCTTACGTTGTTGATGTGCTTCAGGAAAGTGTCTAGTTCTGCATTCCCATGATTCCATATTATGAAGGTGTCGTCTACGTATCTCAACCACCCTCAGGGCTTCTTCAATGGCCAAGGTTTCAAACCACTCCATATGTAAATTGTCTATAACAAGTGAAAGTGGCGATCCCATTGGCAGTCCCTCATCTTGCGTAAAGAATTCGTCCTTCAGTTGGAAGTAGCAGTTTCGTACACAGCATTCTAGTAATTCCATGATTACTTGTATCGGTAAGTTTGTTGTATCTTTCAGGTCCCCATCTTCGGATAGCTTCTTCTGTATGATTTGAAGTGCTTCTTCGACAGGAACGTTGGTGTAGAGGCTTTCCACGTAGAAACTGATCAGTTGATCCTGCTCTTTGACTTCGATTTCCCCTAGTAGTTCAATGAAATGTCTTGAATTTTTCACAAAAGATGATGTTTTACCTTGCAGTGGCTCAACTATTGGTAGTAAAAATCTGGACAAGTTGTGAGTGGCTGAATCTCTGGAGCTAATGATCGGTCTGAGCGGAACACCCTTTTTGTGGTTTTTGGGTAGTCCATATAAGTGAGGGGGCTTACTGTGGTGAGGTGTTAGCGATGATCTCTTTTTTTCCGTAAAATAGACTTGGTGTTTTTTCAAAGTCTGGTACAACTTCCTTTCAATTGATGCAGTAGGGTCTCTTACGATCTTTGTGTATTTTTTTTCTGAAGCACCTCTTCGATCTTCTGTTCGCAGAGATCAGTATCCATTAGAACAATAGCGTTTCCCTTATCTGCAGGTAAGATCTTGATGGTGTTGTCTCTACGTAGCCCGTTCAGGGCTCTTCGTTTTCCATTGCTGTTCTCTGATTTTCCATCTGAATTCTTCTGCCTCGATCCGATCATTAAGGGAACTGGTGTATTCTACTGCAGTTATTATTTCCAAAGTGGGCACAGATGTTAGTGCGATGGCGAAGTTTAGACCTTTCCTCAACAAAGATTCCTCTATGTCCGTGAGCGGGCGGGAACTCATGTTCACTAGGTACGCGTACCCTGTAGGCGTGCTGCTAAATATCCTGATGAAATTTATCATCAGGTAAAATGTTTCGGAATATCATATATTTCTTTAACATGCCTCTTTTACAAACTAATTGGCCGATACTTGATGAAAATCCATAACGCATTCATGCAATACGTGTTTTTCTATACAATAGTTTAAAAACATGCCTGAAGAGGCTATTGTATAGATAAACACTTGTTGCGTTTTTGCAAAACTGTTCAGTGAAAATCTCACAACACAGTGTTTTTTGAGGATGAAAATGTTCCAATTATCTGTTACTTTCTCAATGTTCAGTTTTCCCAACAAACGTTATTATTATGAAACAATCTTCAAAGGACACATAACGGCCATAAATATCATAATGACAACGACGATGAATTGAGGAAAGTTTCATTCAATCCTAAATAATTCGTCAAATTATTTTATCACATCTTTCGTATACACGTTACCTAAATATCTTTTTGTTTCAGAAATGCTCAGAAAGCACTACAAGGGGGACAACAAGAGCGTACTTTACATATTCAATAGGTTGTCCAAATATTGCGGAAAACCTGTCCACCACAACATGAGTGAAGATCCACCAAACTTTAAATGGGACTTTTATCATTCATTGTTTTTTGTCATAACTGTTGTCAGTACCATAGGTAAGTTATAAGTAGCAGGTTGAACTGTAAGAATGATATCAAAGCTGAATAATTTTCAGAGATAATTTGTTGAATACTATTCCTTGTAAACTTAAAAAATCTTTCTGACTCTGAGTCAACTGAGGAGATGGATGTCGATCTTACGACTCCAACTGACCTCCCTGTAAATTTAGATCAAGAGCGAGAGCTTCTCAACTCCCCAACTCCTGATCCAATAACTGAACCAAAAAAAAGGTCTGTTGGTGCAGCCAGGAAATGAGTCATCTCCTCAAGAGCGGGGTACCTTATGAAACCGCCTTGCACCAAATTCTTGAGCGGCGTACGCAGAATCTGTCTCAGGTGGAAGAACAAACCCAACATGAGCAGGTTAGCAAACGTTTGCGCTCAAGTGATGATTCACCAAAACCAGAGGTAAAAAAGCCTTGTACGGTTGTGAATGCAATTTTTGGAATCGCAGTCCGCGTTTGCTGGCCTGGTTTTCGTGAGGCTGCTACGGATAGTGTTCCAAGATCTGAAGCGGGTCCTGATGTTATACTTGGACCCAATCCGTCTTATCCTTTCCGATAATTCTCTGATGTAGGGAAGTACAAGTACTGGTTGTGGCGGCTTCTCTTCCTTGTGTAGTTCTTGCTGTCTTCTAGCTAAGGCCTGTTCTACCATCACTTTGGAGTAACCATTCCGTTGAAGGTCATTTTTGATGATGCCCAGTTCCTTTTCGAGACCTTCCTTTGTATTACAGAGCCCAACAGCACGGTCCAGTAGAGACTTGATGATTCCTCTCTTAGTCTATTGATGTTGGTTAGATTTCTGGTTCAGATACTGTCCTGTGCGAGTGGGTTTTCGATATACAGATGTTTCCCATTTAGTGTCGGTCCTCTTCACCAATACGTCTAAGAAAGGCAATTCGTTGTGGATTTCCTTCTCCATTGTGAAAGTGATGGAAGGCCTTACGTTGTTGATGTGCTTCAGGAAAGTGTCTAGTTCTGCATTCTCATGGTTCCGTATTATGAAGGTGTCGTCTACGTATCTCAACCACACTCGGGGCTTCTTCAATGGCCAAAGGTTCAAACCACTCCATATATAAATTGGCTATAACAGGTGAAAGTGGCGATTCCATTGGCAGTCCAGTACTGTTGAATCTAAGGCATCGTCAGGTGTAGCTGACGTGCAAAAACCACTTATATGGAAAGGTTGTCGCGGGTATCAAGGTGGGAATCTTGCACCTTGATTATTCAACTACTAACGATGAAACAGCAGAGCATATACTTTGTGCCTGCCCCGCTGGGGACCGAATCATGTTTATAGAATACGGCAGAGCCGTACTCTTACCATCTGACGTGAAAGACCACTCATCATAAAAATTAATCGGCTTCGTTAAGAGGCTGGGTTTATTTGGTCGACTGTGAATAGGTATGAGCCATAATAAACTCCTGCGGGTTGCGGTGGAGGGTTGAACAGACCCACTCACTTTGGACCTAAGCTAACTAATCTAACCTACTATACTTTGTCTATGAATAGTTTTTGAGAAGATCGGTTGGTTTAGCTTATGTTATTGGGTTTTTATCAAGTTATTCTTTGTTCACTTCATCATAATTGGTTTTTTGTGTCCGATATATAGGTACTATAATGAGCAGAAAAACGGTTATATCTGCCAATCTTCACTGAAGTTAACAAATATTGAAGTTTATTTAGACTTCAATATTACGAGCAATCAGCACAGAATGATTCAATATTATAAATATCGTACAAACTTGCTATGAATTTTATTCAAACTGGTATTCATCAAGATTTTTGCGAAAGTTGAATTGAACTAATTTTTCTTCATTCAAGTGGGATTTTATGTAATGTGTTATGAACATTCGATTAGATTGTAATCAAAATTCCCAGGTGGATTAGATATTTCAGTAGAAACATGCATTGATATATAGGAAGAAAAACGAATAGATCAGTTTTTTGTATTACTACTCAGTGGCAATTATGTACATAAAACAAAAAAAAATTCAAAGAAACAAATGACATCACAGCATCTCAGGATTTCCACGCTATCAAATTTGATTCAGATTATTGTATAATCTGAGATTTTCAATCCCTTTGAGTGCTATTATCCAAATCCCACATACAGATTTTAACGAGTGATTTCAATTTGTTTATCTCACTTCGTTTTGGAACTTGGCATACAGCTACTATAATCCGCCCTGTTTTTATATCTACAGACCATACTGATTTCTTTTCAATTCCAGGATATGGTAATTTAGCACCTACAACGATGTTCACCAGAGTTTTTATGATTTTTTATGGTTTGATTGGAATATCAATGAATGGTATAGTTATGGTGACTCTAGGAGAATACTTCGGAAAATCGGTGAGTAGATTATAGATTACACTTAAATAGTAGAAAAATTTCGCAGTAGAACTAAGATACTTTCATTAAACTTGATTATTGAAATTATTGTATCAGCCAGAATAACACTAAATGAGCTAACTGAACCATTCTTCCTTGAATAACAATTACATAAAAATACACAGAGTGATAAACAATTGTAATTCATCGCACATACCAACATAAGAGTGAAAATATCTTCCAGAACTTTAAGACCCTCTAACTGATAGATTTTTCAGTGAAAGATTGACAGTTTTCCGCATTTCTTCAGCCAATATTTCTCCGTTTTATGACAATACCATTAAGGTTTGCTTCCAAAGAGAATGTTCCTATGATATGTGTACCCAAAATTTCAGTTCAGATATTCAGATTTTGGAGATATCTGAGAATTTGGCATCATGTCATTTGAAATCTGGATCCCTCCAGTATCAGAAATCTTGACGATTTTCTTGCCGATTCGGTAATGTACAATAAAGTTGCATTACGGTTGACGTTCTTAGAGGACCTCACAAAATTAAACACTTCTGTCGAAATCACCTTCGTTCAACATGTAAAATACAGCAAAATACATCTATCTACCTCTAATCGTAGAATGTAACACAGTTGACGCTTGGGAGCATACATATTGAAATCCTTACAGAAACCAACGACGAGACCTAGGGAGTAGGCAGATTGAGACCCAGGTGTCAAGTCACAAAACTCCTACAGAGTGTAGGCAAATTGAGACATCAGTGTAGCCACAGCTCCTTGAAAATGGTTTTAAAGTCACGGATGGTGGAATAAGTGAAGTTGCTTTACCGGGTGTTCATCGGTTGATTATTCTCAGAGGTCGACGTTTTGCCATCAAATGAAGCAGCAGGCGCACGTGTTAATAAAAAAAAATACTTTTTTCAAATTAAGAAATATATGTAAAGTGAGTTCGAATAATATCAAAGAGGTTACGTATAGCGCCGTCTGCCCGCGAATGGATCAAGGTATAATGTCGATATATATCAAGGAGGTTACGTAAAGCGCCATCTGCCCGCGAATTGATCAAGCAATAATGTCAATATATCAAGAAGGTTACGTACAGCGCCATCTGTCCGCGAATAGATCAATTCTGTCAAATACAGATCCCGATGAGACTTACGAACAAGCAAACATACATACATAGGTACAGGTGAAGCTAATAAAAGCATGTTAATTAATAAAAATAGTACTATTCTGGTTATCTTCAATTCGATTTCAATTTGAGAGCCACCTGCATGCTGTTTCAACATGTTGGGTATCGTCCGTATCAAGCAAGCAGTCCTAGATTGAAGACAAACTTTGAAAATCCGAAACGAGTACTTCATTAAAATCATTACTTAAGTGGAACCACGAAAACGTCGAACAACTGAAATCTTTAGATGCACTGGTAGTTTTTGTATTAACATGTTCATTCAAAATTTGATCTCGCAGTAAATTTTTGTCAAAGTTGATTTTTTTTCGAGAAGTCTGAAAAGAGGTCAATGTAGATACATTCTGGGCAAGATGTGATATTAAAGTCTCGTTTTCATCAGCATAATAGAATTTGAATTATGTTTTGTTCGGATTGGTAGAGCGGAAACATTGAAAAAATTAGAAAAAATCGAGCTGACAGTTCAAATTTGAAGTAAAGGTGAAGAACGGAAAACTGAGATACTTTTGTTCGTGTCATTTTTCTGAATTAAAAAAGTGGCTCATTGAGGATTTTCGAAAAGAATATCAAATTTTACATGTACTCTAAGTACATGAAAAAAAAATTTGGCTGTTTTTTCACTAATTTCTCAGGAAAAAAGTTACTGCGGAATGACATTTCGATTTCATCTATTAATAAAATAAATCCATGTGTTGCTACATCTGTGTGACGTTATATATATTTGAAAACACGAGCAGTACTCTTTGCAGATTTTTCAAGGTTCGTAGTACCAACGCATTATTTCAGTCCGCTCTTGAAATGTATATACAATTTTTTGTAAAACAGATGATAACAAACGAAATAATATAAGTTCAGCTGTGTGATACGGTAGTTCAAGCCGCGAGGCCGGGCAATCTATTTTCATTTGCTATCGTCCAACCCTTATTAGCGATCACACGTTAAAAGGTAAGACCTCGTTAGTTAGTTAACGGAAAAACAGATATTTTCAATCAATAAAAAACTATGCAGTCATCATTTCAGAATCAGTAACTAGATGATGAATTCATGTTATTTTCATCAATATCATTCAACAATGTTCAGTTTGAACATTTCCAACATATAAATTGTGTTACAAATTTATCTTCGAGTTTGGATTCGAAAAAATTTGGATTTTTAAAAAATTTTTTACATTGTTTATCAATGCATTGTCAAAGATGTTACAGGATTGAATATAGAATTGGAAGTCCTTTCCAATAAGGTATCACTGGACTATTATTTGCATTTCGAAAGTTGTTAATATAAGTGTTGGTTGTAGAAATGTGATGACCTGAAAACTAACGAAACTTGTTTCTTGAATAATAATAATAATATAATAATATTTATTCACACAAGAATAATAATTACAGAGTATAATTAAACGAATGCAGCAGTAGATACTGCTTGTGTGTGGGCTTATACACTGTGTCCGTAAAGTATGGAACAAATTCATTTTTAGCTAAACAGGTCATTTTAAGAAATAATCCTGAAACACGTCGATTTTTGATGTTAATTTACCGTATTTTAAAATAATAATCTAATATACAGGGTGAATTACGTTCGAGTAATGACGTCACCGTCATTTTTTTTAAAT